CCCGGGGAGTCTTTCTACAGAGGAGAGGCGGACGAGATCCCAGACCTTGTGAAGGCCAAGCTCCTCCCTCCCTGCTGCAATGCAGCAGTGACCCGGAGGCGCGTTACGGCGAGAGTAGCAGGGGTGGGCTGTCTGCAAAGGTCAACAGGATTTGTTTTCAGGAGCAAGACTGCAAAGGTAATGGAAACTCCTGCCCCACTGTGGGAGGCACCGCCCTGAAGAGCAGGTCGCCGTGAAAACAAAGGATGAAAGTGTCGGGAGTCACAGCGTGATGAATAGCAGCTCACTGTGAAGCCGGAGGGCTGCTCCTGCTCTCCGAGCGCAAACAACACCGCCGTCCTGTCCCAGGTGACGAGCTCACGCCCTCTCACAGGGCCTGCGGATTGATCGCGGAATCTCCAGGAACAACGCGGGACTCGATACCTCCACAGCTCCCGTGTGGAGCCCCAGCCGAAGGGATCAGATTCAGGAGCGCCCTTGTGGGAAAGTTTCACCCGTGGCTCTGGTGCTCAGTGCTGCAGTGCTCAATGGCGACTGTCATAGTTCGTTACATTGGGGGTACTGTTACCATGGCAATAATATAGTAATCCGCCACCCTCATGAACCATAACACTGTTGTGCTAGTACATGTAGTTATGTCTTTGAAGAATAAAGTGCTCTCTGGTTTATTACCCGACGCCTGAGATCCACAACAGTGTATTTGATTATTATCAGGGGACACCTGGACGTGTCTGGGTGGAATTAACCTTCACCTGCTTCCTCTCGCTGTAGTGAGAGGTGGCCTCTCCTGAGCCACAGCAGTCCCAGACTTCGCTAGCCCAGCAGTGGGCTGGCACAGGCGATGGCGGTCGCTCGGGCGCCTGAAACTCTCAGCTGTGCTGTGGTCCTTGTCTCTGGGCAGGCGAATATTTCCCCAGCGATGAGCTCGGGAGGGCAAGGAGTTTGGGCTCTGTCTGCGCCTCCTGGGCCAGGGCAGGGCCACAGCGAGCCCCTGTGATAGACGATAGGGCTGTGATCACGCACACAGGCCTGGGGCCTCTCACTCAGAGAGGGGGGAGTCTGCAGTCTCACAAAGCGCAGCAGGTTTCGGCTGTGAGAAACGCACGGGTTGCTCTCGTGTTACAGCTCCATTTCGGTGTTTTTGTTTTAAAGAATGTCCGTGTCATGCGACACCTGCGCGTTATCCAGAGGATGCTTTTAACACAAGGCAGCCTACAGCGGGGGAGGGCCTGAACACAGCGGTTCTCATCCTATCCCCCTGGCCGTCTTTGGGGTGAAAGATTTAGCAAGCCGGTGCGGAAGAGGGGTGCGGTTTTCCAGCATGATGTTTGTTGCACCCTGGGGAGACACAGGCAGGGCCTTCTGGTCTCCCCCGGGTGAGCACTGGGCTTTCCAGGGGCATCGAGTAAGGGAAATCACGGTGTGGCTCCGGTCTAGAGCAGCAACGCTCAGCAGAATTACAGCATTACAGTACAAAAACATTTACCATAGTAAAATCATAGTATTCTCATAGTCTGATATAGTTGATATCTTGATATCCGGCCATAGTCAGAGGCTCACTGTCAGAGTGCATCCTGGGTTCTGTAGCATTAAGTGGACAAGAGGGCGCATGAAAGTATAAAACCTTTTGCAATAACGAAATATTCAAGATGCCATTTTATCCAGACCACGCTGTGTTTCCAGTAGTGCCTGCAGATCATCTTCCCTGTGAGGAACAGGTGCTGTTCAGCTTGTGCAGTCTGCTCTGCTGAAGGCGTGCGGTGCACTCGGGGCCGGCTGGTCCCCCTACAGGAGGAGTGTGAGGCTGAGGGTGGCTGCAGCGAGGCGAGAGTTGAGTGATTTGAACTCGACACTCTCACACCTCTACCCTGGCTAATAAGCACACACATCCCCCAGATCCCAAGCCTAACTCCAATCCAATAAGGCCAGCGGCTGTGCTCATTGTCTCGCGGAGTGTTTACCTAGCTCCAGAGCTTCTCCACTCCATCATCTGGGAGCTTAGTGCCAGGGAGGTCACTCCTGGGTCCGCCCGGAAAGCCGCAGAGAGAGAAGGGATTTGAAGGCTGGCAGAGCCCCAGTCCCCTCCCCCCACTTTCCATCCAAACTTAATTTCCTTCCCTTTCTTCTGGATTTTAATCCCTCTGTCTGATTGTTCTAAGCCTCTCGACTGGGCCTATGGGAATGTTTTTTGCAAGGAGTCCCGTTTTAATTAAGATTTAAGAAGCATCCCAATAGGCGAGACTCAGGGGCTCAGACGAGCAGGATGAGCTGAAAGAGAAGGCAGAGAGAAAGGAGGGGAGGCAGATGGGGTGCAGACTGTGTGCAGGAGCACAATTCACATATTCCTCACAGTGAGATCAGGGTAACACCACAGTACAGTGCAATAAAGCCCAGTGAGATCAGAGTGAAAACACGGTATAGTGTAGTAAAGCACAGTGAGATCAGGGTGAAAGCACGGTAAAGCACCTTGAGATGGTGTTAAAACTGCAGTCAAGTGCAGTGACATCATGGTAAAACGCAGTTTACGCAAGGAGAGCGCGACTGGAACCAAATCTGTTGCAGAGTAAAGCTTGCAGAATTCTGCGCACGTCTGCCCTGGTTCAGTGCCGCACAGGGACTTAAGGCTGGGGTATCCAGCTCGTGACAGCAGGGCAGTACAGGCTCGCTGCCCCCCTGGCGGCAGGTCGGAGTGGAGGTGTGGGGGGTGGGGGTGGGGCTCCTCCTCCCCTCCCTTCACCCCCGACACACAATAGACTGTTTAAGTGACTCGGGCCACAAGTCGCAGCCGGCCGGCCGGCCGGGGTGTTAATGAGCAGGCAGGGTCAGGCCAGCGTCCCTCCCCGCTCTTTCAGAGCGAAGCACAGGCTTACAAGCACCATATGTCTGGGGTCCCCGAGTCAAGGGGGTACTCAGCCGGAAAGAGAGAGGGGTACACAATGGAACCATTCAAAGCCACTGAAGTCTGCAGAAATCCAGAGAGTGGGGAGGCACCCTTGCCGGCTCAACCCGCGCCGCTCGGGAGCTCGGCCTGATTTTCGCCGAACTCACTACGGGGCTGGTTTGCTTGGGCTGGCACTGGCTCTGAGGTCTTGGGTTCGATTGTGGGTCTGGGGCGCCTGTCTGTGGGGAGTCTGCGTGGGCCTGGGGCCAGCAGTGACGCCCTGCTCCTCAGATGTGTGCTGTGGGCAGGTGTTTCCCATGGTGCTCTGGAATCTGCAGGGCCATGCTTCATATCTGCCTCCCCGCTGGGACAGCCAGCCATGCTCCCTGTGGACCCCCCATGCTCGTATGTGGAAACGAGAGAAATAAGAAACCAGTATATTGACTTCAGTTACATGTGGCGATATCTTGTTCCACACTCCCGAAACCCTTGGTGTAAAAACATACCTCCTGTGCTTGGTTTTAAAAGCTCTTCCCAGTAGAAAAATATTCAGTTCCTCCAGCCTGTCAGTGAAGAACATTTCCTTAAGCCACAAAATGTATCTGATCTTCTCTGGAGTCCAGAGCAGCCATTTCTTTTCTATAACACGGAGACCAAACTTTTACACAGTGTTCTAAATGAGGCCTCTCTAGCGTGTGAGCCAGCTGTCCTTGGTTAAAACTATCCCACATTTGTGGTTGTTTCCCCACTTTGATTAAAACACGTAACCCGGGTGTCAACGGTTTTCGTAAGCAGCCTCTTCCAGCTCAGTGTTTGCCTTTCTGTGCTTGGAGGTTTTTTTATTATTTTGACTACCTGCATATACAAACCCTGTGCTTTTCTTTCGAAAACCTTCAATTAAAGCTCTGCTTTTGAAAGACAAAATGGAAGAGCCTTGCTCGCGCTAGACCACCGTGACCAACACAGGAAACCTCTTCTAATAGTTAATTGACTTATCGAACTCATTTAAAAAACCTTTCTTCTTTTTAACACTTTAACACATTCCAGGAATTCCCCGTCACATTTCCAACCCCCCCGTCCTCCTAGTTTTCTTTCTCTTCCGCAGAGCTGGCTTAATTATTAATTGATTAATGAGCTCACTCATTAATCATTTAGCGGTTAATCACGAGGGGAAGGGGGGCTGTTTGCAGAGGAAGTGGCCGATGTGTGAAAAGCTGGGAGAGAAATAATAATAATTAAAACCCTGACTTCACATTTCCTTCTAATTATGTTTCGGCGTTAATCACCGCGAAGGCAAGGAGTTTCAGGAACTGGGCATTGTTCTGCCTCTGTTCTTACTTGAACACCCCCATCTTCTCTGCGCCACAGAGCAGGATCTATTAGAGCCGTCAGGTACACTTTTTGTCTTCTTCTCAAACCACTTAGTCATCAGGAATTTAAAGAGATTTTAAAATCCCGACCGAAATCTGATTAACCGAATAAAGTTTGGTGTTAATTAAAACTTCTTCCATTCATTTTTCTTGATTTAAAAAAAAAGAGAACAGTTGTTCTCATTTGAATATCAATGGACTGAAGCTATTTTGGGAGGGGCATGCAGTTATACCTGCTGTCATCAGTCTGTGATATTCACGTAATTTACGTCGCTTTACGGGAGAGGGTTTGATAATTTAATCGTCACAACGGAAAATGGGTCTGACGTTAAAAGTTTTTTTTTTCAAATTAAAGGGAAAAAGTCTTACTAAGACACATCCGCAGTAAAGATCGCCGAAACGCAACTTTAAAGTAAATGGATTGAAAGGGAGATAAACTATTAATCCTCTTCCTGGACTTGATGTATGTTGATAGTCGTTACCAGGGCGTGTTGTATCTGCAGAAAAACACTAATTTATACTTTCGCAAACATATGAACCCCTCTGGTCCACTCACAAGCTGGCGGTCGCACCCCACGACAAACACTATAAAATACTCTTATTAATAACGCCTTTGCTCCCAGAGCTTAATTTAAGAAAGGACCGACATTCCTAGCTCAAATGCTTCTGTAGTCTTAATCCGCCCCGGTTGGTTAAGACCTAAATAATTCCAGCTGCTTCTAGAGTGTTGTGAGAATTTGAAAAGAAGTGGGTCTTCTGCCTGTAAACGGTGCCACGGGTTATTAATATATAGCGCCTTTCATCCCAAACGACCGCACTGCGCTTTTACATACAGAAGGAAATTTCTCCAGCGAGGCGATAGACGAGGCAGGCACTCCATTAAAAAAAAAAGATAAGTCATTTACAGCGTTACTATCCTCGATAAAGAGTGGAAAAAAATAATTGAAAAACGGGCAGCTTCCCTATGGCACGGAGCCAGGCGGTACTCTGTGGGGGGAGAGTCAATTAGCAAGCGTAGGCCGCAGAATCCCCAGCCTCGATTAATTGACACCCCTGGGCGTTGAGCTAGTGTCCCAGCGGAACGGAACAAGCGAAAGAATCCCCCTTTGTTTTCTTTCGTTTCCTGCAAGAGCGAGTGACTTTTTTGTGTTATTTTTTGTTCCGTTTTCGTTTGTTTTTTTTCCCCCACGTATTGAAAGAGCAATTGCAATTAATTATTCCTTTATTCGTTATAATTTTTTGTCATCTTTTTTTTTAGGACTGTACCCGGGGGACCGGGCTTCGCATACGATTATTACGATGATGATTACTTACTCGCACAACTTCAGAACAAGAAACTGTCACAGGGAAGGAGGGAGGGGGCTGCGGGTGTCTTAGCATCGTGCCCTTTACCGCTGCCTCCCTCTGCCTCTCCGCGTTTCAGTAATGGCACGGAGAGTTAATGATTTAAACCTTTTCTTAAAAGCGTGGTAAATCGCCATGAAGGCCCAGCCGAGCAAAATAAAAACAAACTGGCAAGCAGAGCAGCCGTCTCTCGTACGTATCGGGAAAGCACCTGGGGCGAGAGAGAGCGAAACACCGCGGTTTGGTCAACAGACATCTTGTCAACAAGCTGACGGGCGCCGCGCAGGGTAAAAGTGGTTTGGGGGTTTCAGAGTCTGCCCTGCGGCTGGCTCGGATCTTTCTGCGCGGGGGGGGTGACAGTCAGAGGAGAGTCGGAGCTGAAACAAGACTTCGAGGAGTTTTCTTCAGCTGGAAAACTTCTCGGAGCCCCCCTAGGGAAGACGCAAACCATCCCCAGCACGCACTGCGCGGCCGTGAGCGCTCAGATGCGGGTGAGTCGCAGCAGAATAGCAATTAGAGAGAGCAGAGCGACTGCAAAACGCGGAGCATTGACGAGGAGTGAGGCGATCCGCAGCACAAAGGTATTCAAACTCCACAAGCACGGCAACTAAGGCTTCCTTCTTCATTCAACATGAGCTTGAGAGCTTGAGAGCCACCAGTGTATAACTGAGAGCGAGTTTGTGTTCTGAAGCCTCTTCTTTCATTCCTCATTTCAATTCACTGACACTGGCAGTGAAGTCTATTGACAGTCCCCAGGCTCGAGGATTCTTTATGAAGACAAATGTGCTTTTGTGGGTTTTCTCTTTCCCCCTCCTCTTCAGCACACGTTAGACTTCGCAGGCGATCCCTGTTAGCGTCATTCCTCTTTCTGGGAAGCAGGAGTCACTCGGTCAGCTGACGCTTGCTCTCGATCGTGAGACGGCTCGTGGGGTCCCCAGGGACGTGGCAGGGACGCGGTGTTCCTGCAGTCAGTGCCCCTGCAGGAGCGGGTGGTGAGACAGGAGCAGGAGCCGGGCGAAGACTGGGCAGACTGGGCCTTCTCCTGGTTTCTGATCTGCCGCGAGGGCTGACTGAGAGTATGTGAGTGTCTGCTGGGGTCTCACGGTGGCACACGGGTCGGCATTGTCGCCTCACAACCCTGGAGTTGACAGAGACATGCTGGCGGGTTTAAAGGCTCATGGTGTGTCTGTGTGTGTCCTGTGATGGACTGGTGTCCTGTCCAGGGTGTGTGAGTGTGTGTCCTGTGATGGACTGGTGTCCTGTCCAGGGTGTCCCCTGCCTTGGGCCTGTTGCTAGCTGGGATAGACTCCAGCTCCTCTACTTCCTCTACAGGAAGAGAGTTCCTGTGTGTCCTCCAGCTGCGAGCTGGGAACTGTGTTGACCATAGCTCCGGTGTCTTTGATCGGTGAGGATGGAGAAAGGCAATCGGCACAACCGGAGGATCCCAGGTGACCCGCGAAGCCCGTCCCAGAGCCCCCACGCTCGTCACGCCCGGCCCCTGTCAGCTCAAGCCAGCCGTTCGCCCTTCGAGGGCGTTCGGAACGCCGCCGCCCGGATCCGGGTCAGGGCCCAGGCATGCTTCACTGTGCTTCCCTACGGATGTGGGGCTCTTTTTTGCTCATCTCCCTTGGCTCTCCTATGGCTCGACGGCTACGGCGAAGAGTGACTGAAACACCTTGTGTTCTTTATCCGACTCGCCCGTGATGGATCAGCCGCTCCAGAGCCGTGTCCCGAGGAGAGCTCTCCGGCTCCTGGGACAGCAGCAGGGCGCAGTTTAACACCTCTCTGAAGGACAGGAGGCATTGATTTTGAGATTTTCTGGCTCAGTGCAGGCCAATGTGACAGATACAATGAGGGAGGAGGGGGTGTTGGAGTGCTGATGGCAGTTGTGAGTCTTTGTGTGTGTGAGGGGGGGGCTCAGAGGGGGGTTAGTGAGAGAGGTGGGGGGTAAGGCAGGGAGGGCGCCCCTTCTCATTGAAGGCCTCTGTCAGAGACAGCTCACACAATAAGGACTGAAGATGTGAAGAGGGTGGTGGAGAGGATTATAAGGGGGAAACAGCTCTTAAAAAGCTGTTAGGCAGCAATTTATTAAGAGGCAGAAAAGCAGGAGAGGGGAGCGGGTCAGAAGGAATGTTGCAGAAGGAGAGGGCGTGAATAACTCCTCTCCCGGCTGTCACCGCCCCGGCGTGAGGGAGCCGGTCCGGGTCGCCGACGGTCGTTCTTGTTTTTCTCGGGCGGAGCGGACACACGCGGCGGCGGGACCGGGGGGACAGGCGGACCGCAGCGATCCCAGAGCGGAGCCCGGCTCGGCAGAACGAGCGCTGGTTCTGCTGGCCCGTCCTGTGTTCAGTAGCTCAGTGTTACAGTTCTGGGCCGCAGTGTGTTCAGTGTCTCAGTCTTCACAAGAGTGCCAGGCCGCAGTGTGTTCAGTAGCTCAGTGTTACAGTTCTGGGCCGCAGTGTGTTCAGTGTCTCAGTCTTCACAAGAGCGCCAGGCCGCAGTGTGTTCAGTAGCTCAGTGTCACAGTGCTGGACTGCAGTGTGTTCAGCAGCTCGGTGTTCAGCTCCATGGGCTCTTGCGTCTATCACACACAGCTGGTGCTCCCGTTTCCAGGCGCTGCAGAAACACCCGTATTAATGCCACGATACAGATGGCGAAGCCATAGAAGCTGTGGAATACACCATGTCCGCAGTCCGCGCCGCCCGCCCGCCCTGCTCTTCCCTCTGCGTGGGGACACGGCGTGTCCGAGTCACCCGCGCGCGCGCGAGACGAGTCCCCGCACATTTTCTGGCCTATTTTCGCGTCTACAGCGGCGTGAGATGATATTCTATGTCAAAATCCGGATTAAAGCGCATTGACCGAGCATGTTTTAACCTTGCTGATTAGAGGGTAAAAAAATACAAACCTACAGGTCGTACTATTTCTGGCGTTGACATTGCTGCTGGAATCGTCCCAACACACACAAAAAACCGCTAAAAGTGAACAAGGATCTGAAAATAATTCTAATAAGCCCATTTTTCTTCTCTGAAATGCTCAGCGACTGAGAAAAACGGTTTAAACGTTAAAGACGGGGCTGACAAGTCGCTTACGACTGTCAACATCCATTAGTTACGGATATTTCCTGGATTCGGAATATTAAAGGTTTTTTTACAGATTACATTTTTAAAATTCACATAATTAAGCCGCTAAAGCACCGTCAAATAATTGGCTAATTCGGCAAAAAAGGACTTAAAAGGAATTTTATATGAGTCATTAGCGTAGTTACGGTTTTGTGTGCGTTCAGCATTTCCAATAAGAATTCAAGTGCAAAGAATTAGGTTTTTTTTTTTCATTCCGAGACGTTATTTTTACTCAAGCGAGCACGTCTTGGCAAGACAAGACACGCGAAAGAAAGAACCGAAAAAAAAAAACAAAAGAATTAACAGCAGAAAAATAAGATGTGTCTCTATCGCACGCGGGAGCGGATGGCGGGCCCCAGTAAAAGATGAAGAAAGAAAACAGGAGTTTGTTTTTAATAGAAGATTGTTACCGCTCCCTTTCCGAGAAGGGAAAGAAATCGGTTTTCTGGATTTAGGGGGACAATGGGGCGCAGCGTCTCCCCCGATTTCCCGGCTCTTAAGGATGGGCACGCGGTCGTGTCTCGGGAAGAGGGTTCGGCTCTGAGCGGGGTCCCCCTCGCGCTGGGGGGGGTATCGCGCTCGAGCCGGGGGGGTATTGACTCGGGCTGTGCGTGTCCCGCGCTCAGATGAAGTGTATAATTGACTGCTGACAAAGGCATCGCAGAGCCGGCTTGTTCCCTTTCAATAGAGCACCTTCAAAAAGAGGAGAGAGGGTAAATCCTGCCCCCCCGTCTCTCTCTGGGGAAAAGGCGGCTATTGAAAAGCTATTAAACACGCATTTAACAGGGCTGGATTGGAAATGAAGAGGCTTATTTAAAGAGAGAGACGGGGGCACAATAGCGGGGTTCTGGACGCCGTATGTCTCCCTTCTTTCAGCGGCTGTTACAGTGGGAGGCCCCAGCACGCTGTGTTTAAGCACCCCCCTCCCTCTTTGGGGAATAGTTTGAAGGGGTTTTAGTGCCGCCTCAACGGGCCTCCCTTTATCACACGGTCGGCCACCGTTTTCTCTCAGCTTTTTTAAACGCACAAAACAAGAAAAACGAGGGCAAGTCCCCCCCCCCCCGATCACTTCTTAAAACCCACTTTCTCCTCTTCTCCTCTCCGCCCGCTGCGCTCCAAGTCCGCCGAAGCGCGTCACAGCCCTCCGCGAGCCGGAGACCCTCACTGCGGTGTCGCTGCTCGTGAACTGCAGCTCCGCCTCGACAGCATCAGTTTTCCTTCTTCCAGCGCGATGGCAGGCTTATCTTATGGGTTAATTATGCATTCCAGACCTTTACTGACTTAATATTGCTTTCACCCTGGTCTCACTGGGCTTTACTGCGCTATTCTGCGCATTAATCCTGATCTCACTGCGCTGTACTGTGTTTTTACCCTGATCTCACTCCGCACTGATGTGCTGTCTGGATGAGAGCATCCAGTCGTGGTTACAGAGGAAAGTCTCTGTAAAATAAACGAGACAAACGGACCAATGAGGCGGATGTGCTGACGGCCTCACCACCCAGCCGCCCGATAATTACAGCACCACAAGCGCCGCTAATTACAGTCTGGTTAATAATCCCGGGGCTCCTCTCTCCAGCAGCGCAGTGCTGCAGCGCTCTCGGTGCGGACAGCGGCTTCCTTGCGGTGTGTGTGGGCGCCTGTGTCCGGTCCGCGCTCGGAGACCCCCCCCGCGCTTTAGGAGTAAAGACGCAGACGTCCTGCAGTCTCCTCTCTTCCAGAGGGAAACTGGTTCCAATCCACTTGTAAATGTTCCTGGATGTATCAGACGATCTCCTGGCGCATGATCACGCCTGGTCTTTGTTGAGGGTCTGAGCAGTGGGCACAGCAGAGGGCAGAGAACCAGTCTCTTCACCGTCTCACCTTCCTCACATCCTTTCTCTCTCCTCCTCCTCCTCTGTCCCAGCAGGCAGGGCGGCCTACTTCTCCCAGGAGCCCAAGGACCAGGTGGTGGTGTCGGGCCAGTCGGTCACTCTGCCCTGCGTGATCGTGGGGTACCGCGGGATGGTGCAGTGGACCAAGGACGGGCTGGCGCTGGGCGGGGAGAGAGACCTGCCAGGTGAGGTCACTGTCGGGCCGTGAGGAGCGGAGGGCTGCACCAGGACACTGCGAGGCAGAGAAACAAGTTGTGTTGGCAGGTGGCAGAGGGGTGCAGTGGTCACCATTGCTGTTTCTCAGTACTGGGCTCAGTTCCTGTCTGTGTGGAGTTTGCATGTTCTCCTCTCATTTGCATGTGTTTCCTCTGGGCGCTCCGGTTTGTTCCCATGGACCAAAGACATGCTGGTGGCTTAGTTGGCTTCTGGGAAAATCGGTCCTTGTGTGTGTGTCCTGTGATGGACTTTCCTGTCCAGGGTGCATCATGCCTTGTGCCCAGTGCTTTCTGGGATAGGCTCCGGGCCGCCAGTAAGTGGTTATTGAAAGGATGTGATAATGTTGTCTTGTTCTGTGCTGGCTTGACGGCTGTCTGCCTCACGTCTCCCCTGCAGGCTGGGAGCGGTACTCCATCATGGGCGACGCCTCGACGGGGGAACACAGCCTCTTCATCGACTCGGCCGAGCTGGGGGACGACGCTGTGTATGAGTGCCAGGCCACACAGGCGGCACTGCGCTCCCACCGCGCCAAGCTCACCGTGCTGGGTAAGACCCAGCGCCCGTTTTTAACCCCAGTCCAGGCAGGACTACAGACTAAAGAGACTCAGTTCCTCCAGCCTGTCAGTGTGGGACACTCCCTTCAGACTAAAGAGACTCAGTTCCTCCAGCCTGTCAGTGTGGGACACTCCCTTCAGACTAAAGAGACTCAGTTCCTCCAGCCTGTCAGTGTGGGACACTCCCTTCAGACTAAAGAGACTCAGTTCCTCAAGCCTTTCAGTGTGGGACACTCCCTTCAGCTCCAGAAATTATCCAGTTGCTCTTCTCTGGACTTGATTCCAGAGCAGACAAACAAGATTTTCACTGACTTACCCAGAACCACTTAAATGAAATGAACATGTCCCTGGGTTGTTGGGCTGTCAAATTCAGTTTATGGAGGGTCTCTCCATACAGCCTGCTGAGCATTCAATTTTAATTGGGCTTCATTATTTAGTTAATAGGACTCTGTGGGAAGATTTTGGAAACGGCTCTTAGATCTAACGCATCTCTATAATGAGCTGTGAAAGACCTTGAATTCTTTTTGAAAATGTAAGTCGTGCATCCATGGCGTCTGTTTAAACAGGCTGTGGAATATTAAGAGAGACAGAAAGTCTCTCTTTAGCTCAAGAGCTGGCAGGTATGTTCAGGTACAAGCCTGACAGCCGCTGATAGCACTGCGCTAACTCCGGGGAAAAAAAGCCCAGCTCGTCTCCGTTGGGCTTGATTGATCGAAAAACGCCGAGAAGACGGTTGATCTCTGCAAAATGTTCCAAAATGTGATTCTGAGTATTCAGGGTTATCACTGGGGCGCAGTCGCAAACTGACTAGCATGAACATTGAAAAGTCAGGATCCTGCGCAGTTAGCACATTTTCCAGTGAGTCACGAAATCTGTCAGCGGTGCGGCCCCTTTCTGAATTAACGCAGAGCGATCTGCATCGCGTCCGACACAGCCTCTGGCTGGGGCGCCGCGGCAGAGCGAACGTGGAGCGGCAGTGCCATCTAGTGGCCGTACGGAGTATTGCAAAGTCCTTCTTATTGCTGGCGGACGTTAGATGACTTAATAGGTTCCACTTCAATTTGGGAAATTATTTCCTGTAGCTATTGTTTCTCATGTTTAGGTACGTCTCCTAATGTAATGATAAAAAACTTTGTTATATAATAAAACCATATACCCCTGTTCCTCTCAGTACTACCTCGGTTCCTCCACTGACTGGCTGTTGGAACTGAACCCTTTTAGTCTTAAACAGAGAAGTCTGTGAAGGGACCTGGTGCCAGTATTCAACATCCCCGACGACACTGGCAACATCAGCCCGGCAGACTTCTTCAGAATGAACAGTAAACCAGGAGCCAGAGGTCACAAGCAGAACAGGCACTTCTATCCGATTGTTGAAGTCGGTACCCTGGCTTCTTCCCCGAGCTGGCTGGAGGAGATCCTGGGATCAGTCAGCTCCTAACGATGTCAGATGGGCTCAGTGGGTCAGACCAAAGGCCAACCGGCTGGGTTATGGGGTTACGGAAAGTGTGTGACGCTGTTCCTCCTGCCAGCAGGGGTGCAGTCTATGACTTTGTGATAGTAATAATCCCGCCTGCCAGCACTAGGTGGCAGTGTGGTGCATCGCGAGGGTGAGGTGGACAAACCGGGTTCCCATATTGATCGCTGCTTCGCGGGGCAGTTCCTCATATTTTGGCCGGCGGTTGTGTGTTGTTCCAGTGCCCCCGGGGGACCCCGTGGTGGAGGGCGGCCCGGTGGTGAAGCTCAAGGCCCACGCGCCCCACAACCTCACCTGCCGGGCCGCGGGCGCCAAGCCCGCCGCCGAGATCGCCTGGTACCGGGACGGGGAGCTGCAGGAGTCCGCCGTCTACTCCAAGGTAAGGCCTCCCGCCAAGCCTACAGCGCCCCAACATCGGAGAACCGAGAAGGCTGTTACCCAGAACTCCCTCCAGCTGGCGTGGCACCATGTCGGGGGCTCCAGGGGGCGCTGTGCACTTCTCATTCTCACCCTCTATCCAGAGTGTCATGGAGGATGGGAAGAGGGAGACGGCTGTGAGCATGCTCCTGGTCACCCCGGAAGACAAGGACACCGGTCGCACCTTCACCTGTCGCGTCACGAACCCGGCCGCGCCTGCTGGGAAGCAAATCTCTGTGGCCCTCAACGTGCAGCGTGAGTCCAG